TTAGAGACACCCCAGTATAAGGCAGGGTCATTACACATATAAAAGAAACCAGCTTGATATGTCAGCTAACTCACTGATAATCATGCACTCTCCTAATATCTTATCTTAACAGATGTTAAAGCTGAAGTTTTAAAAAAAAATATATATTTTTTTGCTCTACAACTTTAGTTACATTACTGAGCTGTGATTATGTTTGTCTCATGATGTACAGGCTTTGGGATTCTATAAAAATCTTTACTGCAATGCTGCCCTGTATTTTTCCTGCTGCTGAACTTCCTGCTACAGTGGGGGTGAATACACTGCCTTAAAAAAGTTCTCATACCCCTTGAAATGTTTCACATTTTGTCATGTTAGAACCAAAAACATAAGTGTATGTTAGAACCAAAAACATAAATGTATTTTATTGGGATTTTATGTGATAGACCAACACAAAGTGGTACATAATTGTGAAGTAGAAAGAAAATTATAAATGGTTTTCAACATTTTTTACAAATAAATATCTGAAAAGTGTGGCGGCCATTTGCATTCAGCACCCTTTTACTCTGATACCCCTAACTAAAATCTAGTGGAACCAGATACCTTCAGAAGTCAGCTAATTAGTAGATCGAGTCCACCTGTGTGTAATTCAATCTCAGTATCAATACGGCTGTTCTGTGAAGCCCTCAGAGGTTTGTTAGAGAACATTATTGAACAAACAGCATTATGAAGACCAAGGAACACACCAGACAGGTCAGGGATAAAATTGTGGAGAAGTTTAAAGTAGGGTTAGGTTATAAAACAAATACCAAGCTTTGAACATCTCACGGAGCACTGTTCAATCCATCAACCAAAAATGGAAAGAGTACAGCACAACTGCAAACCTACCATGAAATGGCCATCCACCTAAACTGACGGGCCAAAGGCCGAAAGATTCCAGAACTTGTGCCAGAGGGAGCCCTACTGGATCTATGCTCTTGATGTGGACCTTGAGATTAACACCATTACCGTATATAGAGCTGATGCCATTACACTATTCCTAAACTCCATTATTCCAGTTTTCATTTTGTACAGAACATTGCAGTGTATCTACTATCACGTGCAAATGTTCGGGTTTATGCTTTTAGCTTGGTTAGTCTCACCTGCATCATTCCATATTTAACACCATCCACGAACCAACTATTTCATCTCATATCGTCATGATGTGTCTCTTTCCACCTGGTTATTTAATTGATTCATTTTCCATGGCTGCCCTCTCTTTTTCCTTTTTAGAATATATAAGGTAAATTGAGTTATCTTAGATTCAGGTTCTTTTATATATGCACTATGTCAGTCTGTAAATATACAGTTGCAAGAAAAAGTATGTGAACCCCTTGGGATTACGTGGAGTTTTGCATGAATTGGGCATAAAATGTGCTCTGAACATCATCTAAGTCACAACAATAGAAGAACACAGTCTGCTGAACATAATACTACACAAACATTAGATGTTGCCATGGTTTCATTGCACATAACATGTAAACATTCACAGTGCAGGGAGGAAAACGTATGTGAACCTTTGGACTTAATAACTGGTTGACCCTCCTTTGGCAGCAATAACCTCAACCAAACGTTTTCTGTAGTTGCAGATCAGACCCGCACAACGATCTGGAGTCATTTTGGACCACTCCTGTTTCAGTGTAGCAATATTCTTGGGATGTCTGGTGTGAATCGCTCTCTTAAGGTCATGCCACAGCATTTCAATGGGGTTGAGGTCAGGACTCTGACTGGGGCACTCCAGAAGGCGTATTCTGTGTTTGTATAGTATTATGTTCAGCAGACTGTGTTCTTCTATTGTTGTGACTTAGATGACGTTCAGAGCACATTTTATTCCCAATTCATGCAAAACTCCATGGAATCCCAAGGGGTTCACATACTTTTTCTTGCAACTGTATGTATATGTATCATGTATGGCTGCATCTTTCAGTAGTACTATTGGTGATTGTAATGCCACCTAGGGAGCGCTACTGTCATTGTGCAACAACCTTTTTCTTTTTTTCATCTACTAATGTCATTTATTCGCAGTCTAATGATAAGCGTCCCTCGATTAATTCATCCATCTTGTGGTCTCTTATATTGGCGGCCTGACCAGTTATTTGTAGTCACTCTTTTTTATTCATCTTCGATCCGTTCTGCCTACTGTATCCATCATTGCCTAGATACCAAGCCTTCGTTATCCCTCAGCACCGCCCTATTCCTGCCCCTTCCCTCATTTAACTGGCTCCAATCATTTGTGGGGCATGAAGAAGCAGCATCCTGCACATGCTCCGAAATGTGTTACTGCCCACTTTGACGTCACTTCTGGTTTTGCATTCCCCGCTGCTGGCGTGCGTTCCAGCGGTTCCGGAAGAGTGGTGGCCATTTTTTCCAGCACTCCCTGAGCTCCCCCTGCTGCTGCTGGCCGGCATTATGGATTGTTGATTTCACAGTGAAAGAGCCCCACTACTCTGACATACAGATGAGTTGTACCCTTACCTTTAATAAAAGTGGTTAAAAACATTTACAGCAAAGTTATTGGACTTATTGCACTTAGAAATGCCTTCTTCTTCCTATCTCCTTCCACTACAGAGTTGGCTTCACACTCATAGAAGTGCTGCACAGTGCTAAGTCCATTCTTAGATCACATCAGCTGACATCTCTCAGATGAAGGTTCTAGAGCAGAAGCACCCTATCCTTTTTCCTTGTGTGAAGAGGGGTGTGTCCCTTCCTTCCAATCAGCTCTCAGAGTTCTGCAGAGTGTAATCTCCTATCCCTAATTTTTCTGAACGATCAGACAAGCTTTATAAATTCAGAACTTTGAATAGCTGTAGAGAAAAGAATAATGCAGATAAACAGGTAAAACTTATGTAGGAGGATTAATTTTATCTCTGTGTTTCACCTGAATCCAATCACTTAACTAGGTATATGTAAGGTTTTATAACGTCATGAGAACAGTTGTCACAGAGGGTGTAGTGAGGAGGTGATAACAGAACAGTCTGTTAACCTCCTTAGCAGTATTCCCGAGTGTAGCTCGGGGTAAAGTTTCAGTACCAAAAGCGGTAACCCCCCCCCGTGTTCCGGTCCCTGTGACGTTGGGATGACGGCAAATTTGAATTTTTTAAAAAAATGTCATTTTTTTTAAAATGATTATTACATAGTAAAACATTGCTGTTTCAAACCATTTCACATACATTGTGTCCCGAGTGCTGCCCTGCCTGCATTTTGACTGTTCTTTCTGCCTGGAAACTGAGAAACGTCCATGGCGTCCAAAAAGCGTCCCTTTAGGTCAGACGCGGTTTTAGACCGGCTAGAGAACAGCGATAGTAAATCAGAACCACTTGCAGAATTGAGTGATAATGATTGGTGGGGGAAATTCCTCATCAGACACTGAAAACAATTCTGCGACTTTGCTCAGCGTTGTGCGAACTTGGCGCTATATTTCAAATTTCAGTGTTTTTGGTTTGATTATATTATTTAATTAAATTTATAATTATTATATTATTATTTTTTATGATTTATTTATTAAATTATAATTTATGATTTCGTGTTTCAAGTTTTATCCTACCCGGGATGTTTACTAGACTCTTGTTCGGACAGATTTCAGGGAGTTATTCCTAAATTACAGCCTACAATAAAAAAATACATATTTCCATGCAAAATAATGGTACCGCTTTCAGCACCAAAATCTGAAATAATCAGACCGCCAGGGAGGTTAAAGATACATAAACATATACTGTATATACTGCATATTTGTTTCTTCTTTTTAGACCCCAACCAAGCTCTTTTTTACCCAGTCCACAATTCTGAAACATACATGCTGCTCTCTGAATGTAGTAAAATGATGCAATTATTCTCAGACCATGGTGATGTCACTTATCATTTGGGCCAGTCCTACAGAAAGCCTGCTAATGGATCAGTATTTTATTATGTGCGCCTGCAGACCAGGAACATGTTTGCTTTTGCCTTTTTCAGCAGACTATTCCCAGCCTGAACTCGACCAGCAAAGACTGTCATGAGAAGGTATTAATAGCGGCGATAATGTATCAATCATGTGCTAACAATATTATTAATAGTACAGCATGTTTGTACAGTGCGTATCGTTTAATTGGGTAAGTTAATTACTATACTGCTCACAGGCAGAATGAAGCCTTCTATTAATGAAATCCAGTACAAAGCTGATCATATTATGAAAACAGTCTGGAGGAACATGTCAGGATTGAAATAATGCTAACACAAGATTGTCAGCCACGTGTTTCTAATTTGAAAGTATAATTTTCAGAAAACATATGAAGAGCCAAGTTAGATCACTCTGTGCTTTTTACATGCAGAGCTGTTTATGGCTCAGCGATTATATAAAGAGGTCAAAGAAAAAGAGAGCCTTCCATTGTTAACATGGAACCTGGATGCTGGTGAACAATGGGGATTTAGGCTGGGTCAGGTGTTTTTGTGAAGTTCAAATAATATAATCCAGTGTCTTTTTATATACTTCTAATTAGAGATGAGCGAATTATTCAAAAATTCGTTCAGCTGATTCGCCGAATTCGCCGAATAAATTCGCTGCGAGCCGAATATATTCGCTGCGAATTTAACTTATAAAAAGGGTGTTTCTAGGCTTCAGAGAGCCTTTATATTAGTGCAGAACACTGTACCTTTAATTTAAATGCCCTTGGAGTCTGCTGGGGAAGAGAAATAATACTGTCAGTCAGTATGACATGCAGATGAGTGCCGTCGATCTTAGAATCACCGCACACTTCACTCATTTGGCCAGTCACGGGGCCAAAACCAGAGTGTGGAGCACACAGTGTGGCGGTGGAGGCAGCAGCAATGGGAGGCCATACAGCACCCTATGACAAAATGGAACCCACCAGCAGTGTGAGGAGACCTGAAAGTGGCACATGGCAGAGTGTGGCGATGGAGACAGCAGCAATGGGAGGCCGTACAGGAACCCATGACACACTCTGGACCTGGCAGCAGCATGAGGAGGCGGTACAGGGGCCCATGACAGATTACGGGCCTGGCAGCAGCATGAGGAGTTGATACGGGGGCCCATGGCAGATTACGGGGCCTGCAGCAGCATGAGGAGGCGGTACAGGGCCCATGGCAGAGTGGCGGAGCGTAAGCAGCTAAAATTGAAGGCCATACAGAGGCCTATGTTAAAAAGTCCCCCCAGCAGCAGCGTGGGGAGACGACTATCAAGAGTCCAATGGCAGAGTGGCGGAGCAGAAGCAGCTTCAATTGAAGGCCATACACAGGCCTAGGTTTAAAAGTCCCTCACAGTTAATTCCAATAACGGACTCTACTCCTCCGTGCAATCTACTTACGAGACCCTGGGCAGGTCTGGGTCCAATTTGTGGTAGAGAGACTGGTTTTGTTCAGCCATGCTTGAGTGAGTAATAACAGGTCTGTGCTGCCCTTTGGTGTCTGGCTTAATGCGCACAACACTGAACGTCCCAGCGTTTGTCAACGATTTGCCGTTAAGTGATGAAACCCCGCTGAACCACGTTCATGAGGAGCCGGTACAGGGGCCATGAATCAGTATGGACCTGGCAGCAGCGTGAGCAGACGACAGAGGCACATGGCGCAGGGTGGCGGTGTAGGCAGCATTATTCTGAAGCCATACACAGGCCTAGGTTAAAAAGCGGAAGCCGTCAGCAGCGTGAGCAGACGACAGAGACACATGGCGCAGGGTGGCGGTGGATGCAGCAGTATTCGGAAGCCAAACACAGGCCTCGGTTAAAAAGCGGAAGCCGTCAGCAGCGTGAGCAGACGACAGAGGCACATGGCGCAGGGTGGCGGTGGAGGCAGCAGCAATGGAAGGCCATACACAGGCCTATGTTAAAAAGTCCCCCCCAGCAGCAGCGTGGGGAGACGACTATCAAGAGTCCAATGGCAGAGTGGCGGAGCGGAAGCAGCTTCAATTGAAGGCCATACACAGGCCTAGGTTAAAAAGTCCCCCCAGCAGCAGTGTGGGGAGACGACTATCAAGAGTCCAATGGCTGAGTGGCGATCCGGGAAGTCAGCGTTGTGATTGCAGATGCAATGCAGAGATTCTATGAGGTGATGTGCCGTGGGTGCGAAGAAGATCATATACCGTCGTACTTCCATCCATAAGACGGAACAACCTGCGAACCGGGAGCTTTATTGCCCTGACCCGCTGAGCAGCTTCTGGGATACCCAAGAGTTTGGCTTCTGTGGGGAATATGGTTGAAAACTGAAACTTAAAGGCATGTTGACGGAAGGGCACCAGTGTCAGTGCTCCGGAGGGAATATAGCTTCAAAGCTGACACTTAAAGGTATATCGATGGTCAGAGACCACAGGAAGTGGGATGCTTGCGTCTTTAAATCGACTGAATGTGGCAGACGTGAAACGTCTACGGGCCGTATATGAAACGGGTTGTTTCCTCTTTCTGGAATAAGTGTTGGAAATGGCCACTCTTTTTGGTGTGGCGTTTTGTCTATTTAATTCCAATAACGGACTCTACTCCTCCGTGCAATCTAGTTACGAGACCCTGGGCAGGTCTGGGTCCAATTTGTGGTAGAGACTGGTTTTGTTCAGCCATGCTTGAGCGAGTAATAACAGGTCTGTGCTGCCCTTTGGTGTCTGGCTTAATGCGCACAACACTGAACGTCCCAGCATTTGTCAACGATTTGCCGTTAAGTGATGCAAACCCGCTGAACCACGTTCATGAGGAGCCGGTACAGGGGGCCATGAATCAGTATAGACCTGGCAGCAGTGTGAGCAGACGACAGAGACACATGGCGCAGGGTGGCGGGGACGCAGCAGTATTCGGAAGCCAAACACAGGCCTCGGTTAAAAAGCGGAAGCCGTCAGCAGCGTGAGCAGACGACAGAGACACATGGCGCAGGGGTGGCGGTGGAGGCAGCAGTATTCGGAAGCCATACACAGGCCTAGGTTTAAAACTGGAACCCAGCAGCGTGAGCAACGACAAAGACGCACATGGCAGAGGATGGATCTGGCAGCAGTATGAGAAGGCGGTACAGGGGCCCGTGGCACAGTGTGGTGATGGGGCTACAGCAACTGGATGCCAGAAAGTGGCCGATAGGCTATATACGGCATGGAATTATAAAGTTGTAAAGACAGCAGCCTATAAGGCTATACACACTATAACAATCATGACTTGATTGACCATTGGCCTATAAGGCTATACACAGCATGAATATCATGACTTATTCTGAGAGTGGTTTGGAAGGCTATATACAAAAAGTAATTCATGAGCTGTCCGGACAGCGGACAATAAGTACATATATACAAATCAATTCATCAGCTGTCCAGCCAGCGGCCTCAAAGGCGACACATATAGAAAGCAATTCATGAGCTGTTCAGCACAGCGGCCTCTAAGGCGACAGATATACAAAGCAATTCCCGAGGTGTTCAGGGAGCGGCCTGAACGGCTAGGTTATTACTAAATATATTTTTGTGGCCAAACATCGGCCTATAAATAGATGTCTACACAGTGACAAAAAATTATGTCGCCAGACAGCGGCCCCCCTAAGGCGACAGATATACAAAGCAATTCCCGAGGTGTTCAGTGTGAGCGGCTTGAACGGCTAGGTTATTACTAAATTATATCTTTCTGGACAAACATCGGCCTATAAATAGATGTCTACACAGTGACAAAAAAGTAGGTCGCCTTACAGCGGCGTATCCTACAAATTGACATTATAAGAAATGGTTTAGACCATTTAAAAAAAAAAAAAAAAAAACCTTTGATGCGATGCTATACCTTAGTAGATTGTGGAAAGTCGACAAGTCAAGCGTAACTGTGTACATTACAGAAAATCTTAACAAGACAACCAAACATGTGGCCAAACCGTGACCGATACAACAAGTTAACAATGTAAGAAACAGGAGGGGGCCAAACCGTGGCAATAAATAAACAGTCCACCTCATTGATGAGATGGACAACACGTGTCAAATAAATATTTAAAAAATTTGCTATTCCATCGGTCTGGAACTGGTCGACTATAAATAATTAAAAAGTTTAAAATTCATGTGACAGTCGTCCAGCGACGTATAAATAATTTAAAAACACCAATTCATGAGGGGCCCGACCAGCAGAAGTCATTAAAAAGGTTCAATTTATGTGACGGTCGTCCAGCGAAGTATAAATAATTTAAAAACCCCCCAATTCATGAGGGGCCCGACCTGCAGAGTATAAGCCATTAAAAATGTGCAAAACATGAGTCGATAGTCGGCCGACCAGCAGCCTCTCAATAAAAATATATATACAAATGTACGGATCAGGTGGAGGTCTTCCATTTGTCCCTAATAACATGTTTGGGGGCATGATTCATGGCGGATTTAGTCAGTTTGTCAGGAACTGGTGGTTTGAAATCCAGACTAATCCACGCCTGATTCATTTTCACAAACGTGAGTCTCTCCACACTTTGGGTGGACAGTCGTGCCCTCCGCGGAGTTACAATACCTCCTGCCGCACTAAACACGCGCTCCGATGCCACGCTACTGGCCGGGCATGACAGCCTTTCAAGGGCAAATTCAGCTAGTTGGGGCCAAAGGTCAAGTTTCGTTGCCCAGTAGTCAAGGCGATTGTCTACCTCGGTTGGCAGGGTGCTGTCCATGTAGGCCCAAGCCTGTTGTTTGAGGTCCTGGCTCCAGGTCCACCTGATGCTGCTGCGGCTGGTTAGTAGTAGTTTCCTCACTGCGCTGGTGAAAGAAAGCTACTCATCATCGACTGCAGACTGAGGCAGCCCGCTGCTGGTGGAGCTGCCACTGCTCCTACCACCCCACCCCTCCCCCTGCTGCCATGGCAGTGGAACGCGAGCGCACAGGCCCACAGTGTCTGAGGATGGACGTTGGCGCACAAAGGCAGAGACCAACTGACTACATAGGTGGTTTTTTTATAGTACTTTATTTTGGCCTCCCTCTCAGCAGGTGTGAAAAAGGCCACCATTTTTTGAACGGTAGCGAGGGTCCAACAAGGTGGACAGCCAAAAGTCATCCCTCTGTCCTGATGTTATTATTCGGCTGTCGCTACGCAAGCAACCGAGCATGCTATGGCCATTTGTGCCAAGGAATGCGAGGGACTCCCTGCCTCCATCTCCACAGCATACTGCCACGGTGCGTCTGGGTCCTCTGTCTCCTCCTCCTCCTCTACCCAGATGCTCCTGCTCCTCCACTCCTGTCCGCTGAGTGGAAAAACCACCCATTTCACTCAATAATTCCTGAGCACCATTGTCCTCCTCTACCTCCTCCTCTTCTTCCTGTCCTGCCCCCACAGGGTCCATGTGGCGTTGAGATCTGTGCGCCACGTCTACCGCACCCTGACCAGCTATTGTTAACAGCATTTGTTCCAGGACGTGCAACAGAGGAATGACGTCGTTCATCCCATTAGTCCTGCCGACTCACAAATAGCGTGGCCTCCTCAAAGGGCCTGAGCAAGCGCGCAGGTGTCACGCATGAGCTGCCAATGGCTGACATCGAAGTTACACAGGGAGTACCTTTATCCCTTGTAACATCAGGAAATCGGTGATGGCCTTTCGCTGTTCGTAAAGGCGGTCTAACATATGTAGGGTTGAATTCCACCTTGTTGCAACGTCGCAGATCAGGCGATGCTGTGGAATTCCGTTCTGCCGCTGCAGCTCAAGGAGGGTGTGCTTTGCGGTGTAGGAATGGCTGAAATGCATGCAAAGTTTACGTGACATTTTAAGGATGTCTTGCAGTGGGGATGGGGATTTAGGAACCGCTTGACAACCAGATTGAACACGTGAGCCATGCATGGCGCATGGCACAACCTTCCTTGACGCAGAGCAGACACCATGTTCTTTCCTTTGTCGGTCAACATGGTTCCGATTTTCAGTTTGCGCGGATGACAGCCATCTGTCGATTTCTCTGTTCATTACACTGAGAAAGTTCCTCCCCTGTGTGACTACGTTCGCACAAGGCATACCAGGTGCAGCACAGCGTGACACCGTTGCGCCCTGCACATGTGATATGGCCGGTCGGGTAATGGGACTTGGCACGGGGGTGGCGGCTGAGGACACGGCGGAAGAAGAGGTGGTAAGAGGCGGACATCATTTGCTGGACCAAGGACGTGCAAACGTGGAGGCAAAAGCGGCGTGACCTGTCCAAGTTGCTGGTGCGGCTGTGCCGGCACCACGAGTTCACCCAGTGGGCCGTAAATGACATGTACTGTCCCTGACCGTAGTTACAGCTCCACACACGGTCGGCGCTGCCGTGCACTTTTGGCAGAGAGACCGACATGCTCAAAGACTGGCCCACCATCTCTCTACATGTGAATGCAGGGCTGGCACTGCCTTTTTGGCGAAGAAATGCCAGCTTGGCACTCTCCACCGCAGGGCTCGGCACAAGCCATCATTTCTCGGAAAGGTGCTGATCCACCACTTGGAAAGGGAGGGACTGCAGCACCAGCAACTTGGACAGGAGGACTTCAGCTTCTGCACCGTCGGGTGCGTGCTCGCAAACTGTTGTCTCTTGGAAACGGATTCCAAGAAAGACTGCTGACGGAATCCGTGAAGAGGAGTAGCAGGAGAAGGAGCATCTGAAAACGAGTGGAAGATGCCAACGAGCGACAACTCCCCTCAGCAGAGGTGTTGGAGCCTTGACTGGCTGATAGAGGGGCGATTGACGTCGGGTGACGGAGCAAGTAACGGAGCGGGTGATGGAGCGGGGGCTGGGGCAGGCAGAACCCTGCCGTATCTTTATCACGGTTTTCCAGGCCACCGAATGGCGACGCTGCATATGCTGACGCAAACGCTGTAGTCCCAACATTGGCCCCCTGGCCACGCTTGACTTTCTGGCCACATAGTCGACATACGGCTACGTTTACTTCCTCGGCGCGGCTTGACGTAAAAATTGCCACAAGCCGCCGAGTAGGAAACTTTGCCCCCGCTACTCCTCACTGGCTGACTG